AGGGAGGGCACTCCGGGTGGGAGGAGGGTCTGGGGCACAGGTGGGGGGACATTGGGTGTCTATGGGGAGTTATTTATGAGGAGACGCAGGAAGCCAAACTATAGAAGGTTCAGATCAAGTAGGGTCTTATGAGCCAAGGGAAGGAGAATGAACTGTTTGGGGGGAACAATGGGGAGCCATGGAAGGAATTTCAGTAAGGTAGTATGACCAAGTGACAGTTGCCTTTTAGTTTTTTCATTTTATTTTTTTTTTTTTTTTTTTATATTTTTATTTATTTCTAGGAGAGAGAGAGAGAGAGACAGCATGAGCAGGGGAGGGTAAGAGAGAGAGGGAGACACAGACTCTGAAACAGGCTCCAGGCTCTGAGCTGGCAGTCAGCACAGAGCCCGACGCGGGGCTCGAACCCACGAACTGCGAGATCATGACCTATGCGAAAGTCGGTCGCTTAACCGACTAAGCCACCCAGGCGCCCCTAGTTTTTTCATTTTAAAAAGAGAAACTAAGTTAGGGGCTCCTGGCAGGCTCAGTCGGTAGAGCGTGTGACTCCTGACCTCAGGGTTGTGGGTTCGAGCCCCACATTGGGTGTAGAGATTAGTCAAAATAAAAATAAACTTAAAAACTATCTTGGGGTGGGGCGCCTGGGTGGCTCCTTGGATTAAACCTGCAACTTAGGTTCAGGTCATGATCTCACAGTTCGTGAGTTTGAGCCCCATGTCCGGCTCTGTGCTGACAGCTCAGAGCAGGGAGCCTGCTTCAGGTTCTGTGTCTCTGTGACTCCCTTTCTCTCTGCTCCTCTCCTGCTCATGCTCTGTCTCTCTCAAAAAATAAATAAACATTAAAAAAAATTTTTTAATAAAAAAACTATTTTGGGATGCCTGGGTGTGGCTAAGTCGGTTAATCTCAACGATGGTGAGATTGAGCCCCACATCGGGCTCTGCACTGACAACATGGAGCCTGCTTGGGCTCCTGCTTGGGATTTTCTTTTTCCCTCCCTCTCTTTCAAAATAAATAAATAGACTTTGAAAATTTAAAAAAAAAAACTGTCATAAGTAGCTATTACATTTATAGCTTAAAAACCAAAATATGGGGAGCCTGGGTGGCTCAGTCAGTTAAACATCTGACTTGGGCTCACGTCATGATCTCCAAGTTCATGAGTTAGAGCCCCACATCGGGCTGTGCATTGACAGTGCAGAGCCTGCTTGGGATTCTGTCTCTCCCTCTCTTTCTGCCTCTGTCCTGCTCACTCGCACTCTCAAAATAAATAAATAAAGTTTATTTTTAAAAATAGATCTACATACTGGGCAATAGAGAAGGGGTATACCTCTCAGTGCCCACATTGACTCAGTTTCTACCCCACCCCCCCATTCCTATTAGTTTATGACAACAATCCTTACAAAGTTTTTTAAGCAAATGCAAATGAATATGAATAGAAATTTTTATTCTGATTCCTTAGTTACATGAAAGGTAATGTGCTATCTGCTAGTCTGCACTTTGCTTCTCCTCCTCAAGAAGATGGCTGGGGAATGTCACCATATGAGTCGTTTTTTTGCACATTGTCAACTGGGGTTCCCTGGGGAAATCAGGCCTTACAGAAAATGACTTGTTTGACCTCTCTCAGTTCCGCCAAGGATGGAGTGTAGCTGGTGCCCACCAAGGGCACAGAAAAAGTTATTTCCTTTCCGAGGATGGATATATGGAAACCCTAGGGCCTCGTTCGCCTGTAAAGCTCCAATCAGAAGGGCTGGCCTGTAGCATTTTAGGTGAAGGTCCTCACAGTATTCGAGTCATTCTAGGTATCTTCGTTTCCAAACAGTGCAACAAAGCAAAACCTTGTACACGCCTCATTTTGCTTGTGTGCAGATTTATCACCAAAATGGAACTGGTGGCTTAGAGTAGACACAGCCCAGGTTTCACTATTAGGTCTCATACTGCGTTCCATATCCAGTGCACGATAATCATAATCTCACCTGCAGGGGGCGTTGTCAGATTCTTGGGGCTTTGCGGCAGGTAGCAGAACTGTAGTTTTTTTACCTTGCAGTTTCTTTTTGTTAGAAGAGATTTGCGTGCTAGAAAGATCGCTGGCAGCTGGGTGGAGAAAGGAATTGAGCTGAGTGTAGAAGAGGCTGGCAAGGGGTGAAGGCGCCTGTACCAGTAGGTGGGCCGTGGAGTGAATTGGGCACATGGGGGGCTGGTCCAGGGGCCACCGGATTAGGGGTGTGGAAGCTTATGACTTGCGTGACTAAAGAGATGGTAGGACCAGGGCACACAGAGAGGTCTCTGCGTCCGGACAGGCGCGTGTTGGCCAGCCGGGAGGGCTGTGGCCACCGGTGGGAGGAAGGAAAGGGGGCGTGGACGTCAGCCTGCGGCTCCCCTTCCTCTGTCCCCAGGCAGAAGCTGCACGAGGCAGATCTGGAGCTGCAGCGGAAGCGAGAGTACATTGAGGAGCTGGAGCCCCCCTCTGACAGCGGCAGTGAGTGGGACTCAGCGGCTGCGTGGGTAGGAGGGCCCCAAGCTCGGCCGGGAGCTGAGGGGGTCACCCTGTTCCCCCAGCAGCCCGGCGTATCGAGGAGCTGCAGCACAGCCTGCAGAAGAAGGATGCGGACTTGCGGGCCATGGAAGAGCGGTACCGCCGCTACGTGGACAAGGCGCGCACGGTGAGGCCACCGGGGGCTCCGGGGGCCCCCTGGCGAGGCTGCTGCAGCCCCTGACTCGTCCCTCCCACCGGTGCGCACCCCTCCGCCCTCCCTTCTCGTACCCCATCGTATCACAGACTTTCCCGCCACCACCGTGAGCCGTCACACTGAACACAGTGCAATGTGTCCCGGGGCCTGCAAGGCCAAGGTCGCCCTGGCTGTGTCTTCCCCAACCCCTAGGTCATCCAGACCCTGGAACCCAAGCAACGGCCACCCGGAGGGGGACCCCCGGAACTTCACACCCTGAGGACACAGCTCCGGGAGCGGGACGTCCGCATCCGCCACCTGGAGGTGGGTGTCCTCATTCCTTCTCACTGTTGTCCCTCCCCCTCCCGCCTCCCCCGCCCTCCCCCCCCCCCCACCAGCATATCCAGAGCCTTGACTCTTGCCTCTGGCAGATGGACTTTGAGAAGAGTCGAAGTCAACGGGAGCAGGAAGAGAGGCTGCTCATCAGTGCCTGGTACAATATGGTGAGCGCTCGTCACCAAGGCCAAGTCCTGGGCTGTGCCGCGGGCTCACTTGACCCCAACCGTGCCCCCTGCCTCCCTCCAGGGCATGGCTCTGCAGCAGCGAGCTGGGGAGGAGCGGGCACCTGCCCATGCCCAGTCATTTCTGGCGCAGCAGCGGCTGGCCACCAACACTCGCCGTGGACCCCTCGGGCGCCTAGCCTCCCTAAGCATGCGCCCCACTGACAAGCACTGATGGACCTCCAGACCCTGCCGCCCCGGATCCCCTCCACTCACATGGGGCCCAGCACTGGGAAGGCCTCAGGAATGGGCCTGTTCTTTTTAGCAACGTGATTCTTATCCTTGATTTTCAGCCTGGGGTTAATGAGATGCCAGGGGAGAGAGTGATTTTATATTTGAGAAGACAAATAATAAAGATTTTTCAATCTGCCCCGGCTGGACTCTGGACACTGAGGGGAGAGGGAGAGAAGATGGGCCAGGAACTCATATCGTTGCTTTTAGAAAGGCCTGGCTGTGTTCTTACTAAAGTGTGAGTGACCTATAGCACGCTCTGGAAGGTGAGAATCCTGTCTGTGTCTGTGTAAGTGCAGTTGTAGTTTTTCAGGAAGCTTTGGACAGAAGTCCCCGCCTTATGAAGCTGTTGTTTCTAATGAAGAGAGACAGACAATAAACAAAATAGGTGATGTGGAAGTTCAATGTGAGTAGTGCTATGGAGAGAAGCAAAATAGAAGAGGTGGGGGGTGCAGGATGTGGATTTGGAAGGTGGTGCCTTTAAATAAAAGCCCCACGGAAGAGGCCTTACCAACCAAGTGACATAATTTAAGTAGAGACCTAAAGGAGGTGAGAGAGGGGCCGTGTAGGGATCTGGGAAAGAATGATCCAGGTAGAGGGAACAGCATATGCAGGAGGCCCTGAGGTGAGGCCTTGCTTGGTGACAAGGCCAGTGTGGAGTGAGAGAAAGGGGGGAAAGATGTGAGGGCAGGGAGGACTTTAGCTTTTATTCGAAGGGAGATGGGAGCCATGTAGGAGTCTAAAGGAAGGAGGGACGTTACCTGACTCAGGTGTTCACAGGCTCTCTGGATGCTATGGAAGAAACAGACTGGGGGGTGGGGGTTAGGGCCAGAGCTGGGAGACCAGGGCAGAGGCCAGTGGTCCGGGTGGGTGACATCTGGCTAAGGTGGGGGTCCTAGAAGAATGGGAAATGGTTGGATTCTGGATACAATTTGAAGGCCGAACTGATAGGATTTGCTCCTGGGTTGATGGGGGGGGGGGGTAAGAGAAAGAGTTGAAAAGGACTCTCTTTTAATGTTTATTTAGTTTTGAAAGAGAGAGCATGTGTGGGGGAGGGGCAGGGAGAGAGGGGAACAGAGGATCAGAAGTAGGTTCCACACTGACAGCAGAGAGCCTGATGTGGGACTCAAATTCTCATACCATGAGATCATCGCCTAAGCTGACGTTGGACACTCAACTGGACTGAGCCACTCAGGCGCCCCATGACTGGAGTTCTAAATTCAGGGGTCATTGGCATAGGATTGAATTAAGACCTGGGCTTTGAAGGGGTATTTGAGAATTCAGGGATTTGGGGCAGAGGTGGCCTGTGGAAACATAACACAAGGCCAGCAGGAGGAGGATGTGGTCTTACTGGCTGGTATATCAATGAATGAGTAAAGGCACGAATACTGATGGGAGCATCTCAACAGGCAGCATTTGGGAAGAAGAGGGAGGGTGTGATCAAAGAATCTGGAAGAATTCTCAAATCTTAGCCTAATACCTGGCAGGAAAATAATAATGTTTGGTAAAAGCCACTAACATTTTATTGAGCACCTATTATGCACCAACACTTTAAAGCCATCATTTCATTTCATCCCCTGAAGGCAGTGAGGTAGGCACTCACATCTCTGTTTTAAGGAACGAATAAAGGCAGGCACACTGATCGAAGCCTCTCAGGCAGGGGAGGGAGGGAAGAAAAGCTGAGGGGAAAGATGAACTGTTCAAATAAACTGGCACAGCGCCTGGCTCACACGAGGAGCTCCAAAACCTAGGGTCAGAGGACTCGTGCGCAGGAAGCGGGAACCCGTCAAAATCGGATAGGCGGAGTCCACATGCGGCTTACGTAGACCCAGACTGCTGCCTGCGTGCCCTATCGGGATTTGTGTCCCTGTCCCTGGGATCTCAGGCTAGACTCTCCTCCTCCTCGCCAATGGGGCTGGGCAGCCAGGGCGGAGCTGGTCCCCGGGGCACCGGCAGAGGCACCGCGGTGAAGGGCTCGGCGGCGGGCCCGGGGACAGGCAGTTCCGGGCCAGGTGGGAACTCTGACTCCGGCTCCCGCAAGCCTGTATCCAGCAGCGGGTCCCCGCAACCGCACTCGGGGGCCGCGCCGTCGGGGGCCCCTGCGCACGCGCAGCTGGCGGCCGTGGACGTTTCCGACACGCAGCTGTTCTTGCGGCGCAGCAAGGACAGGCGCCGGCCCAGCAGGCCTCCTGCGGCCATGCCCGCACCTACCGGCAGGAGGCGCTGCAAAAAGTCACCATGTGCCTCGCCCAGCGGCGCGTCCACGCCGTCCAGCCGTTGGAACTGCATGTCTTCTTTGGCCAGCCTGCCGAACGGTACATCAGCGTTGCGACCTCGCTCCTCTCCTGGGCCGACAAAGCTGCGACGCGGGCACGCTGCTTTTCCTGGCTCCACCCGCCCCTGCGTCCCACTTATCCCCAAAAGACCTTGGCTCTGTACCACAGCGCCTGGTTTTAGCCTCCGGCTTTGGCGAAGCTCAAACTTAGGTCTTAAAGCCTCAGTTGTGACTGCCGCGTCTCTGGCACCGCCTCTGGTCGCCAGTCCAGTCCTCATAGACCTTAGCCGTTAGCTCGGCCCCCAGTTAGTGGCCAGGTCCCAGACCTTGACCCAGTTCTCTGCCTCTTGCCCCCATCCTGGTCCTCACAGACTTTAGGTGTTAGCCCTGAATCTCCAAACTTGGCCTTTAGCCCGTGTCCTGGTATCCCACAGCCGCTTCAATCAGATCCTCCCCTCGGAGCCATAAGCCTCGCCTCCAAGAGCCCCCTCACCCATCCATCTGGCTCACGTGATATCAAAGGTGGAGCCCTGAAAGGAGGGCTGTTGCATCAGGAACGCGGTGGCTGCGGTGTAGGGGGCGCGAGCCTCGGCTGAGTCCCAGTACAGATCCTTCTCCAGCATGGCCAGGTCGTCGTACATCTCGTCCACGGCCAGCATGGACACCTGCGGGCGCCGACATGCGGGGCAGGGTGGGGCTCGGCAAAGCGCGCGCGCCGCGGGGCGGACCCCTCCCGCCCCGGCCCCCAGGATGCGTTAGGACTGTGGTGACCAAAGAAAGAGAGATGGTTCAGGGTCCAGGCCGGGGTAAGTCCTGGCGAGGGTGGGGCCAGGGCTCCTTTGGGAACTCGGAATGGACGCAAGCAAGTCTCACCTGGAAGTTGCGGTCGATCAGAAAGTTGGTCTCAAAGTCATCGTCGTCCTCACCGAAGGGATTGATGAGCTGCTCGGCTACCTGAAAGGGGAGGGCGGTAGATAGGCAGAGTCCTCAGAACGCTGCCTGTCCCACCCCGGGAGTCCCTACCTCAGCCCCCCACCCCCACCCCCACCCCCACCCCACCTTGAGCCAGCCGGCATAGAAGAAGAACTGTAGCAGGGTGAAGATGGGCACACACAGGTCCAGGTTGTGACCTTGGTAGCCCTGAGCCGGGTCCAGGAACTGGCGACCGATGAGGCAGGCCAGGAAGTAGCTGTACACAGCGATGGTCACCACCTGGAGGCAGGGTGGGTCACCAGGTCAGCGTTCTAGGGTGGGGGCATCACTGATACGGGGTCTTAGCTGGTCCTCAGTTTCGCCGTGAGAGACCAGTGGGTCAGGACCTGTGATGCCAGACTTAAACGGAGGCACGGTGGGGTTACCTGGGTATAGACAAGGGGTACGCTGATCCAGTCGTAGTGAAAGAGCATCCCACACTTGCCCCGAAATACAGTCAGCTCCTGGGTGTAGATATAAGCCACGAGAGGGCCTGAATTGTGAGCTCACACATGGGGGTTAGGTGTGGGTACTTAGGATAGAGGCCAGTGATTACCTGGTGGGATAAGGGCAGGTGCTTCGGGTCTCCAGGGAGAACATTTAAATTTTTAGCTTTGTGTGTGTGTGTGTGAGGCTTTCTTTCTTTCCTTTCTTTAAAGTTTATTTATTTATTTTGAGAGAGAGTGCAAGCAAGGGAGGGAAAGAGAGAGAGGGAGAGAGAATCCCAAGCAGGTTCGGCGCTCTCAGTGGAGAGCCCGACATGGGGCTCAGACTCACACACTGTGAGATCGTGACCTGAGCCGAAATCACAAGTCCACGATTAACCGCCCGAGCCACCCAGGCGCCCCTCCAGGGACAGGCATTTAGTGGTGAGGGTACATCCGGGGTTGGGGGCCCTGTGGACCTAGGAGTCCGTTCCCTAGAGGTTAAGTGTGCACCTGGGAGCTGCTTGGTAAGGGTGTTGGGAATCTGCCTCATCGGAGGCGCGTGGCCAAAGGGCATCGGACACAGTCCCGGGGAGGTACAACTTCCCTGGAATTTTACACGAATGACCTCCTGGCGGGCCCACCTCCAGCAGCAGCTTAAGGGCGCTGTTGTCGCGGATGCGGCCCTCGCGCCGGGCCTGCGCGGCCAGGTTGGAGAACCAGACGCAGGGCACCCAGTACTTGTTGTAGGACGAGTTCAGGTTCTCGAACTTCTTGCGCTCCTCGCGGGTCATAAACCCTGCAGGGGTGAAGGGCGGGGTTACTCGCCCCGCCTCCCGGCCCGGCCCCGCCCCCGGCCCCGCCCCCGCCCCGCTTCAGGCCGGAGCCTCACCCGCCTCCACTACGTGGTCTATGGTGGGGAAGCGCTTGAAGACCGCGGTGCTGACCGAGCGCAGGATGAGCACGGCTGAGAGCCCGGCGTAGCGCATGAGCGTGCGGCGGTAGAGGCGGCCTCGCTCGTCGCGGCCGTGCACCGTGCCTGCCACCACGCACATGAGCGCGTCGGGCAGCGGCATGCACAGGTACTGGTTCCACCAGCGATGCACCACCAGCGTCACGTAGAAACCTGCGGGAGAGCCGGGAATATGGGGGCTCAGTGGAGATACTAGAGCCAGGCCGTGGGATGAGGCCGGTCACCCAGACCTTGAGGGGCCGCCTGGGTTGGGAATTTGGGGGTCCGGCCCTGAGATTAGAGACCCTGGAGCAGGCTGGGTCACCCTGTCTACTTGATTGTCACCTGGGATATGGGATCGGGATCTCAGTATGGAGGTGGGGACACATGGCCTATGTTGGGGGACAGAGGTGGGCACTCTGGCCACAGGGAGCCACTTGGTTGGGAGCATGGGGACGTGAAACAGGAGCCTGGGGTCACATTAAGTTACTGACTTGTCAGAGGAATGTCCCCTAGGCTGGACTTGAGAGCATGGAGTCATACGGGGTCACTGGAGGGGGGTGTGTCCCTGGGGCCCAGGACAAGTCTCATGCAGACACAGGTCGGAGACCCTGACATAACCAGGGATAAGCCTAATGGCTTACTGTGACCAGGTGACATCCAAGGTCTCTAGAACTGGGGCCACAGCTGGCATGAAAGATGCAGAAATGGGGGCTTGGGGGGTTAGGGGGAGCCCCCAGAGGAATAGGAATGGGGGGGTCTCCCAAAGGCCTGGGAATGGGTTTCTCAGTATGGGGAGTGGGAAACTCAGGAGCGAACCCACCCAGCACGAAAGAGACCGGGATGAGACTGGCATACTGGTCACAGTAAATGACGAGCTTCTCGAAGTAGCGCTTCTGCCCTTCGGCCAGCACGAAGCTGCGAGGGAGGGGGCATAGGGTCACAGGCGAGGCTCCTTCCGGGGACCACCCGGGCCCCTCCCTAGTCCCTTCTGGCTGACACGCCCCACGCCAGGCCCACCTCACCGATAGGCGGCACTCAGCGCCAGGTAGAGCCCCAGGAAACAGAGCAGTTCGCGCCACAGAAGTTTGTAGATGCTCCCGCGCCACAGCAGCAGCAGCTTCGAGAAGCCGCCGAAGCGCGCGTTGGCCACGCGGGCTGTGTATGTGACGGTCATTGCGGCGCCAGGCCGGGCGCGCGGGAGGAGGTGAAGGGGGGGGCTTGGCCGGACCCCAGCCCGTGGGCGGAGGAACGCGGCCCCAGGAGGGGGCCCGGCGCCTGGGGCTGCGGGCAAGGGCAGAGAGGTGCGGGCGGGCTCAGTTCCGGGTCCCCTCGTACACACACCCCAGCCTCCTCGGCTGCGTCCCTTGCTCGGGTTCTGGGCCCTTCCCAGGCCTGCTCAGTCCTGCCCCAGCCCCCAGTCCTCCCCAAGCGCCGGACCACTGGCCCCAGAGCCTGCGTCTACTCCTCCAGGCCCACTGTCCTCCACCCTCAAGACCCTTGGGTCCACCGATCAGCCTCTGTAGCCCTCCGTGCCATCGCATTCCCCTCACCTGAGCTCCGTCTCCAGCACCTCGGTTTCTCGTTTTAAAACTCCAGCTCTTCCGCAGCCTAGACTTCCTCCCTGAGGTCCCACCTCCGCCGCCCCTCCACACCCCTGCAGCTCCCAGTCTCAGCCCATCTCCCACCCCTGGACTCCCTTTGGAAGCCCAATCCTCAAGCCTCCAGCAGGCCCCCGGGTCCTGTCCCCGGGGCCCTCTGCCTCAGGCTTGGTCTCTTCCCTGCACAGCTCCCCCAGCCTATGCACTGCCCTGGCTCTGCCCCTTCACCCCTCTTCTGGACCCACCTTGACCTTTCATCTGTCCGTGCCCCTCCAGCCTTCCGAGCCCTCAACTCCCCCCGCCCTGAGAAGTCCGTCGGATTCCTGCCTGAGGCCCCGTCTGTCCTTCCTCAGGGTCCTCTGCTCCCCCAGGCCTGGGCCCTTCTCACCTGGTGGCGGATGCAGGGACAAACGGGGCCAGAGACAGACTGGGCGGAAGGCTTCAGTGTTAGGTGGGGCTGAGGCCGGACCCTGGGGAGAGGGGGCTGGGGAGTGGGCGTGGGCAGCCCCTCCCCGGCCCGCCCTCCCCCCCCCTTGGCTGCAGCCTCAGAAGTTTGTTTGGAGAAGCGGAGCCAGTTTGTTACCTGGGGGGGGGGGGGAGCAAATCTGCCCTGTCCTCCCTTGCTCCTCCCTGTCTCTCTCCCAGTTAGTCACTGGCAGGTCCAAAGGATCTTGGACCGAAGCTGGGGGAGGGGGCAGGGCCTGTCTCCTTCCCAGTTCCAAAGAGACACACGCTGTTCAGTGAGGCTGTCATGCCACAGACACTTGTAATCACACGCCGTCACAAAGATTTGTAGAGAAACACACACCGTAGACTCAGACACAAATTTAGTTTCTTTTAACGCAGCCTCCCACCGGCACGGTAGCCCACAGGGCAGTCAGTGCACCTTGTCACAAAGACTTACAAAGTCACACAAGACACACTTAGCTCCACCCACGCCCACATCCAAATATGGGCAGGTGGCCCCTAACCCACCAGGCTGTCAGCTCTCGGGTCTCCATATGGTTCTCCAAACAGCCACTCGAGCACATGGGCGGGGACCTGGGACCCTGCATTCCCTCCTGATCACACTATGTAACGAAGACCCACGCAAGGTCACCCGGCCGCTAAGCAGACACCGCACAATGCCTTCACAAACACGCAAGCACCACACAGTCACACAGGAGGCAGCACACACTCATTCCCAATCTCCTGCGCAGACGGACCCGTGTTCACACACTAGATGTAGGAACGTCTGCCTTCAACACAGCGCGACATGGTCCTGGGTCAGAACAGGGTCCTAAACGCATTCATACAATAGAGACCCCTCCCCAGCCGTCCCATAGACCCTTCCATCCAGCTGGGGTCAGGCCCCATAAGCCCCAGGAAATTCATCTGCATTTGCACCTCGATACATAGGACACTCTCCCCGCCAGCGCTCCCTCACTGTAGTGTGCCAGCGTCCACACCCATCCACGCACCTCGGGTCTCAGATACTCTCAGTGTTGCCATGAAGACACAAGCTTCGGGACGCAAGATCTTGTCCCCGAATCTTGCACAGATGCGGATGTTCTGCTTTCACAGACACATCTACAAAGGGGGTGCTCCCAGCCTGCCACAGATAGCCCCCTCACCCCCAACATCAAACTTGTAGCCTAGTGTGGAAGGGTTCCAATCCCAAGAGGGGCACCCTTGAAGCCCCTTGGATTCGCCATTGCGCCCTAGGAGCGTGGAGGGCCCGTTGCGGCCCCGCCCTGAAGGCTTGCCAGCCAGGACGCCATGTTCCCAGCCTGGCAGATGTCTGCCCTGCCCCAGGTAATTAGGAACTGGCCCCAGGCTGGCCACCCTCAGACCCAAACCTCCGCCATCCAGCTGCCGGACAGCCCGTAAAAGGGGGTGAGGGAAGTGGTGCTGCCAGCTTCAGGGCCTGGGGAAGGCACGGGCTTCAAGTTGATGGTCTTGGTTGGTTCCTCACCAGAGGCCCCCTGCTTCCTAGGATGCATCCTCCCGCACTGTACGGCTAGCCTCCCCCCACTTGCACGTGTCCCCACACACTTCTGACTGCCGGACCCCTGCTGGATCCAGGGCAGGTCGCCCAGGCTGGTTCACATGCTGAATAATTGTAACAGCGAAGAATAACAAACACTCCCTGGCGGCTACATGCCTGGTGCTGTCGTAAAGGCATCACTTATTTCATCGCATGGAGTCCTTACAAGCAGGCGTATGTAATTGGTGCTTTCGTTATTTCTGCGTCCGGATAGGGAAACTGAGGATCAGGTGACACAGGGTTTTTCGTGGCATAGCTTGTATTCGAACCCTGGCAGTAGGACTTGGAGCCTGGGGTCTCCATCACAGGCTGCACCACCGTGTTTGTTGACAAGGGCCACCGGAACCTGTCCACACCTGCCCACACACACCCTGTGGAATAGTGTAGCGGGTGGGGGTGGGGGGACACGTCTAGGCTTGTGACTGGGTTCCCCTTACACAAACACCCTGGCTCACCCAGCGTCTGGGTGTGCAGAGTCTGAACACCACTCCCTGATTCACGCAGGTCCTCAGGCAGCCCCTTTCTGTCCCCTCTAACCAGCTCTGGCTTGGAGCTCGCAAATAAATGGTCAGCATCATGCCCGGTCTTGGGTCTCTTAAGTGGGGACCACACTGGCTGTCCAGGCAGCAGCAGAGGGAGCAGGAAAGGGTGTAAGGGAGCCCCTAAGTCCCTTCCAAGCTGGTGTGTGAACCCTTCCAGGGTCCGGTGAATTTTTGCCAGGACTCTGAACGGCCACACTTTAGGTCTCCATTTTAGGGACGAGGAGCTCCAGCTGCAGGAAGCAGGTCACCTATCACTGAGTGACAGCTCTTGAGGCAGACAGGACTTCAGGGGCTCACCTGCCATCCTGCCTTCTAATTAGCCCCCGTTGCAGCCCTGTGCTGGGAAGGGCTGATGCCATCAGGCCTCAGTGGCAGAGGGAGCAGGAATTGGGGGGCGGAGACTGTTAATCCTCAGTCTGGCAGGCCCAGCCTCTGCCCAGGGCGCCCACTAATTCCCAAACCAAACAGCAGGCAGTGCTGGGCCCGAGCTGGCCTAATCCGCTCCCCACCGGCCTGGGGCTGCCCAAGGGGCCTCCCCATTCCCACGCTCTGAACCTCAAAGGAAGTGGGCAGATGCTTCTCTTCTTCTATTAACAGGTTTTACAGCCCCGGCAGAGACAGCGCTATCCATAGAGTTTTCCAACTCTATGTCCTTTTGCAAGGACACCCCCTTACTGAAGATACCCTCCTTCCAAAACTGCCATAATAAACATACATCACTATTAGGTCTCTGTTGTGACTGGGCTCCTCAAAATGTGCCATTTTTGGGGGCGCCTGGGTGGCTTAGTCGGTTAAGCGTCCGACTTTCACTTAGGTCATGATCTCGCGGTTCGTGGGTTCGAGCCCCGCGTCGGGCTCTGTGCTGACTGCCAGCTCAGAGCCTGGAGCCTGTTTCAGAGTCTGTG